CGAGGCCACTTGGGCAAAGTGCATGCGGGGTTCACGCTCACTACCGGCCGGTCCTCACTCTCCTGAACGCCACCCCCACTCCCTGCAGAGCTTTGCTGAGAAGTGGCAAACGATCAAATCCCCGTAGTTTCACCAACTTTCATGCGTGGCGTGGTCACCTTCCACCGGCGCTTGGCAGCTTCCCTCTCCTTGACCCTTCACAGTGCAGAAACACCTTCTGCCTTTTAGAGGAGTATTTGTCAAACAGCAGAGAAACATGAGGCCCAGGCTTGTTTTAAAATGGGAGGGGACCTGGGTCCCTGTGGCCAGCCCAGGGGCAGCCAGGGGCCACCAGTAGGCTCACCAGGCTGTCTGCCGGAGAAGCAGGCCAAGCGTCTCCTTGGGAATGCGGTGGAAAGTAACTGTGACCTAGAAGCGAGCTCCCTAACCACCGATGTAAGTCTCTGACCGGCTCCTTCTCTAGCTGCGAGGTTAGGTCGGGTCACTCGGGCCCCACGGCTGCTTCTGGGATCTGATGGGACAGGATCGGAGGCCCAAGAGCCCACTGAGCCGTGTGGCCGCTTGCAGAGAAAGGAGGGGGCCCTGGAGCACTGGGCGGCAGCAGGGTGCACCTCTGGGAAGGGGATGCAGCAGAGGGCAGAGAGAAGGGCAGGCCCCAGGGAGGGGGGCACGTGGCACCGGGCCGCACCGCCCGGGGCCTGGGGAAAGCTCTCCGGTGCCCACGCCGCGTACGAGAGGAGATCCAAAACTACACCTGTGAGTCAAACCCCCTGAGAAGTGGAAGCTGCCCGCCAGAAGGGGCGGGAGGCCCTCCCGAGGAGCACTGCACAGTGTTGGGGGCCGTGTCAGAGCCAACAGGACACGGCAAGGGCCCGTCAGGCTGGCCAGAGACGGCCTGCTGCCCCGGACCCCAGTGGCAGCCGATCGTCTCCCAGCCCCTCTCACTGGGCGCTCCGCAGTTTATCCTCCCACATCACAGGGTGTTCTCCCCTCTAGTGCTGGGAAGGGAACAGACTCCTCCCCTGCGGCCCCTGAGAGACCGAGTGGACAGGCTCAGGGAGCACGGGTGGGCCGTGGAGCTGGGCACGAGCATCTGCGTCCAGCCCTTTCCGATACTATCCTGGGTGCCTTAACTCTGCTCCCCAGAAGCTCAACTCTAAGAGCGTGGATGAGCAGACAGCTAGGCTGACGTCCTCAGTGACAGGGACGACACGGACCTGTATGCTAGCACATGCCCGGGCCCTCAGTGATGGGCCTTACTTGGAGAAAATGCTGGAACGCTTCATTCCAGCTGAGTCCCGCTACTGGCCCTCCGGCAGGTGCCTGCGTGCCTCCCGGTGAGGGGCAGGTTCCACTTCTCAGGCTGAAAGCTGCAGACTGGTCCCGACAACCCTTGCCCCCCACGTCTGGGCTGTCAGTAAATGTCCTGCCTTTCCCTGCCAGACACATCAGGGTTTGGCCATTTCTCATACCTGCAGCTGCACCTGGCATGACAGCCTAGCACCTGGCCCTACCCCCATCTCCTGGCCTCCCCTTTGCCCCACTCCAGTCTTTCTCAGCACAGAAGCCAGAGTACACTCAGACCTGCCCACTCCCTCTGGCCTGATCACCTACTCCCCACATCCCTCCCCCTCCTCCAGCCATGATGGCCTCCTCCTCACTACTGGAAGCCGCGGGTCCTATGCTGGCCTCAGGGCCTTTGTACATGCTCTTGCCCCTGTCTGGAATGCTTGCTTCCCTAGGTATTGATAAAGCGGCTTGTTCTCTCCCTTCCTTCAGGTCTGGACTCAAATCACTTCCTTTGAGACTTTCTGGAGAAACCCTATTGGAGGAAAGTTAACTCCTCCCCCTAGAAGTCATAGCCCCTCTCCTTGTTTATGTTTTTCCTTCTGAATACTTATCGCTGTCTGATGTGTTATTTATTTATCTTGTTGATCGGTGGATTTCTCCCCATCAGGATAGGAGAACGAGGTCAGGGGCTCTTTTGGTCTCTTCTGATCACTGCTGGGTCGCCACCACCTAGAATGATGATGCCTGGCACATAGCCGGCATTCAGCAGATACTCGCTGAATGAATCAATGTGAAACTGAAATGCTGGATCTCACAGTAATTAAGAATCAAAGATCACTGACTACTTTGGAAATAGGATCTCTTGCTGGTAACGTGGATGGCTCAGACTTCACAAGGCCTGACACTGGTGCTATAAAAACATAACAAAATCAAAATCGTCAAAGAGCCCCAGTCAATCAGAGATTCTGCATATCTTTGCTTTAATGTGCAAACCTTCCCAGATGTCAGAGACGGAACAGGCAGGAGACTGTGAGCGTGGTCAGGAAACCCTGAACCACGCTAAGTATCATGTAGAGGGAATTCAGGCTAAAGACTCAGCCCCACTGGTGTGGGGTGCAGAAAAACCAAAAGGAACCCTTTGGTTACCCCCAATATAACATCCACGATATCCACAGGAACCAGCCGTCTCCATCTCCTTGGGCTGGGGCACAAGAAAGGCTGGGGTGGGTGCTTCAGATCCAGAGGAAGAAGGGGGTGAGTAGGAAGCTGAGATTCCAACAAAAAAGGACGGGGGACATAGCAGGACAAGTCCTGAGGTCAGCCCTGCCCAGGAGAAGGCCAGGAAGGTAAGTGAGTGAGCACTGTCCCTCCATGCGTGGAAGGCTTGATGTGTCTTTACACGTGTGCTGCTGTGAAATGCTCAAGGCCCATCAACGGTTGCAGAGTCTAACACCACAGTGGGTGTGCAAAAGGGAGAAAAAAGCACAATCTCTCCACATAAACATTCTTCCTCACTGCAATACTTGGGAGACTAAGGAAAAGGGCTCAGCACCCCCTTGATGGCAGGCAGATTCCAAAATGCAAGCCGGGGCCAAGGCTTTCACCCCGCGAGACGGTTCACTCAGACATTTATAAGAGCTACCAGCCTGCTGCCAGCCTGAGCGCTGAAACCCAGAGCTGCTCACAAAGCTTGTCAATAAAAGTAGAGAGCGCACATCTAGCCCAGCCCAGAAGTATTTCAATAAATTTCCAGCCAGAGAATCTGACGGGGTATTATACTGAGAAAACCTGGCAGTCCCCGTACAACACACGCATCCGGTTGCCTTTTGTATTTACAGCGTGTTTATCCAGACCATCTTTTAATGCAAATAATAAATCTGCATGGAAATAAAGTAGACTCTTCTCCTACGTTACTATTAGACATTTGACTCCATGAACAATTTCCCTGGACTTTAAAGAACCTAAGAAAGAAAAAGGGCTTCCCCTGGGATTGTACAACAAAACTCAAGTGGTGCTGGGGGGGAGGGGGTGCAGTACCAGCGCGCCAATGTGCAAAGAATCAAAGACCCAGATAAAGAATTAAGGGCAGCCCTTCCTCTGGCCCCAGGTCCCCATGTCCTCCCCTCCAGGGGGTGCTGGGCCAGCCCTCACGGAGGTCTCTGTGAGCAGGACTCCAGCCCAGGCAAAGAGGGCCAAGAGTTGCAGCACAGAGCCCGATCCACCCACCCAACCACTGGTCTTCTCCTAAGCACCTCCACCACCCCCTACCTCCCCCAGCAGCACAGCCAACACCCAGTACCAGTCTCTCCCTCCTTCGGACACTTGAGCAGCTATCCTACTCCGCTGAGTCTTCTTTTCTCCCTGGGAATCCCCCTCCTCCTAAACCTTCCCTCACCTGTAAGCACTCCACTCCACGGACACTCTCCGTGTCTACACTTCAGGAACCCAGAACTGACCCAGCACATCCAGCACGCGCACAGAGGGGTCAGAGCCAGGGTGTGTGCAAGGCGCCTGTCACTCAGCACCCTCCTGCGCCAGGCAAGTCGTTCTCACTACCAGATCCCAGGGCCTCCTCCTCCTCCACACTGGCCACAAGCCCTGCCGGAAGCAGCTGATGCTGAGGGTGACAATAAGAGCTAGCATGCAGGGAGGACCTACTATGGCCACACGCTATGCGAGGCATTTTCATTCTCAACAACAACAACAACAACAGCAACAACAAAACTAAGTAGGAATGGTACTGTTACAGGGGAGGAGCCCAGTTCCAGCCAACTGGCCTGCCTGGGGCGACAGCAGCGCTGTGCCACCTGACCCCAGTGCGACCTGGCAAGGGGAGGGGAGGTCACCTGCCCTGGCAGCTTGCAGGGGCTCTAATTTGTTAACCGCCAGTCTCACTGCAGCAAGGATGTAAGTCACCGCATCAGCTGTTTCTTCATCTAAGCTCCCCTTTGTGGGCGTTCATTGGTTAAAAAGAAAAAAAAAAAAAAAAGAAAGTACAACATACACACCCAAACAGCAAACCCGAGGAAAACTGCTGCCCTGCTTGGAATGATACTAAGCCATCTCCAGAATGGCACTAAACGTGAGCATCTGGGGAGCAAGGAGAAGCGCGAAAGGCAGGCCCTGTCGCTCGGGGCGTTCAAACTTGCTGGCTTTGGGAGCCTTTCCAAGGGACAAGTCTGCCAGAGGATGTGTCATGAGAACTGGGCTAATTACCCACAGAATTCAGACACGGGGGCGGGGCAATCAGCAGGGGGACGGAGGGGTTATCTTTAGGACCTGGGGGCAGAGGAGCAGCTGAGGAGACTAGTTTCCAGCAGCCTCAGCTTCAGTAGAGGCCCGAGGCCGCGCGACCCGCTCGGAAGTCAGGGGGAAGGACGGCCCAGGTGAAGCGCATGGTCAGAGCGCAGGTGCCGCACCTGGTGAGGGCGGGGAGGCTGCTCGGGGCCCCGCAGGCTTCCCGGGCCCCTTCCCCCCTGGGGGTCCCCAGGAGCCGGGGCATCCTCGTTCCGGGGGAGGTGGGGGGACCCGAGGCGCAGCCCTTCCAGGGGCGCACTCCCAGGGCGCACCCCCCTGCCCTGGGCCGGCCAACGACAGGGCCCCGGGGCCAGCCGGGGAGTGGCCGGAGCGCCCCGGAGCCCCGGAGCCCCGGAGCCGGCCCCTCCGCGCGCGCCCCCGGCCCGACCCGGCCCGACCCGACCCGGCCCCACCTTGGCGCAGCGGCGCGCGCGCGAGCTCGGGCCGGTCCTCGGGGAAGGCGTCGCGGAGGCGCTGCCACAGGCGGCCCAGGTCGGCGAGGCTGCGGTGCAGGTACAGGACGCTGCGGTCCGACCACTCGGTGCGGATCTCGAAGAAGTCCTCCTCGTCGCCGCGCCGGCCCACCACGAGCCTGCGGACGCCGTTCACCCAGCAGCCGCGCACGAACATGTTCACCAGCGACGTGCCCTCAAACACCGCCGAGGCCATGCCGCGGGCCGCGCATGCCCCCGCCGCCCCCGCCCGGGGAGGAGCGCTGCCCGGGCCTGTCCGGGGCCTGTCCGGGGCCTGTCCGGGGCCTGTCCGGGGCCGCGGTGTGTCCGGGGCCTGTCCGGGGACGAGGTCTGTCCGGGGTCCGTCCGGGGCCGCGGTGTGTCCGGGGTCTGTCCGGGGACGAGGTCTGTCCGGGGTCTGTCCGGGGCCGCGGTGTGTCCGGGGTCTGTCCGGGGCCGAGGTCTGTCCGGGGTCCGTCCGGGGCCGCGGTGTGTCCGGGGTCTGTCCGGGGTCGTCCGGGTCTGTCCGGGGACGCGGTGTGTCCGGGGTCTGTCCGGGGACGCGGTCTGTCCGGGGTCTGTCCGGGGCCGCGGTCTGTCCAGGGTCTGTCCGGGGCCGCGGTGTGTCCGGGGTCTGTCCGGGGTCTGTCCGGGGTCTGTCCGGGGACGCGGTGTGTCCGGGGTCTGTCCGGGGTCTGTCCGGGGTCTGTCCGGGGACGCGGTGTGTCCGGGGTCTGTCCGATGTCTGTCCCAGGCGGAGGTCTGTCCGAGGTCTGTCCGCGGCCGAGGTCTGTCCGATGTCTGTCCCGAGCCGCGGTGTGTCCGAGGTCTGTCCGATGTCTGTCCGCGGCCGCGGTCTCTCCGAGGTCCGCCCGCCCCGCCCCGCCCGGCCCCGGCCTCCGAGCGCACTCCCGGGGACGCGCGGCGCCGAGCCGGGGGCGGCCGAGCCGGCCTTTATAGGGCCGCTCCCGTCGACGTGGGGCCGCCGCCTTCCTGCCTCCTCCGGCGAGCGGACGCGCCGCGGGCTGGGGCGGAGGGGGCGGCCCGGCCCGCCGCGCCCAGGCCCCGGCACCCCGGCCGCCTCCCGGCCCGCCCCGCCCGCCTCCCCGCCCCGCGCCTCCGCCCCGGCCCGGCCCCCGCCGCCGCCTTCCCCGCCCCTCCGGCCCCGCCGCCGCCGCCGCCGGGACTGGACGAGGCGCTGGGGACGCGGGCGGGCCGGGCCCCGAGCACACGCTGCTCCCTCCCGCGTCCCGACCCCGGCAGCCCCGGCCCGGCTGCGCGCCCCCGCGGACTGGAGGTGCGGGCGGGGGTACCCGGCGGGCGGGACCGTCGGCCTCGCCCTGGTGTCCGCGCCCGGGCCGGGGGGTTGGGGGCCGGGCTTGGGGCCGGGGGCCGGGATCCAAGGGCGGGGATCCGGGGGACCGGGGGGCCGGGGGCCGGGGGGCCGGGGGCCGGGGGTGGGGGCCGGGGGCCCGGGATCCGGGTTGCCAGGGGCGGGGGTCCGGGGCCCCCAAGCCCGGACCCCGGACCCCCGCGCTCCCCCGCCCCGCGTCCCCCGCGCATTCCAGCCGAGCCACAGCGGGGACGCGCGCCCCTTAGGACCTTGGCGGGCCAGCCAAGCGGTCGCCCCCCCAGAAACAGGGGGATCCCCCCACTGCTAAGACGTGGGACGAACCGGTGGTGGGGAAAGCAGTCTCCTCGGAAGGAGCCCCCCCCCCCCCGGAAGCTTCTAGCCCTTTGAAAGTCTGGGATTTGGGAAGTGAACCGGGGAAGCTGCCCACGTTGAAACCCGGGACTGTAGCAGCCGTGATTCACAGCCTCCTAATCCTCAGACTGTTCCTAATTGGAAGGTGATTTCAAGCGATAGTTTGAGATTGGAAGTTAGTTCCAGAAGTGACTCAGGTGACCTCACATGGCCCTGGGCAGGGTGGGAGAGCCAGGCATGGGCCCTCCAGGCTTTGCAGAGTTCTAGAAAGCACCGAGAGCCCAGGGAGGGCACAGAAACCTCAGAGGTTGAGGGCAGGTTGCTGCTCACTTGACTCCATCCGGCCCGCACCCCAGGCCCCCCATCAGCACCAACGGGCTGTATTCAGACTGTTCCAGTGACTTGCCGGTGCCCTATCTCACGGTTCACCATGTAGGCTTAGCTTTGCCTCCCTGTCCTGGGCAGAGTCCCTGTGGGCTGTGTAGACGGGACAAGGAGTGGTCCACCGTTGGGCCTGCCAGGTAGGAGGCCCGACCAGTAAGTGTGGTGTGATGGAGAGGTCGGGGCAGGACTCAGCGCAGGCCCCCCAGGGGGTGCCTGACCTGAAGGAGCCAGCGGGGCTGCCCTCCACCTTCCTCAACAAAGCCCCATTGAGGCCTCCCCCACAGCCCCCCTCCCAGGACACACACCCTTTTTCTCTCTCCGCCACTGAGCTGAACAGCCATCCCTAGTACTTTAAAGGCCAGAATTAAGGTGCTTTTATGCTTTCTGTTAAATCTTTCCTAGAAACAATCAGATCTTCGGTCCCCTGTTGCCAAGGAGACCTAACTTTGTGAAGCTGCCCCTCAGTCTGTGCCAGGCATTCCTGGTCACTAAAGAGAAGAAAGTATTTTCCTATCAGTCATGTTTCTTTGAAGAGACCCAGAACCAGAGAAAACGAAAAGTAACACCTGTCCCAAAGCCACTAATGATTACAGAAATTCAGACTAAAACACAATGAATTGCTATTTTTTAATCCATTGCATCAATACAGATTTCTAAAAATCAGTTAAAAATTATCCCAAATCTGGAAAGAAGGCAAAAAGGATGGTTACCCTCGCAATGCATGTCCTTTCAAAGTTACTGGGCATTGTTTTAAAGCCCAAGGATTACTTCATTTTCTAGGAGGATGTACCATTGCTTGATGTTGCTATTTAGTATTAATGAAAGCCGAAGACCCTGTAAGGTTATAGATTAACGTGTAGATCTGTGCTTGATAGAAATGCAAATAATTTTTGCATTTGCCCCAGAGAAGAGATAACTTCTCGGGTTATCATTTTAGTGCCCTGTAGGACATTAACCATTTTTCTATCTAGTCTAGCAGTCTTATTTTAACATATTGTAAGGACTACATAAACCTGTTACCCCAAATGGTCTTTGAATCAGCTTTTTCATCTTACAAATTTTTCATTAGTTAACGAGGAGGAAAAAATTTCTGACACATGTGCTTGTCGTATTTGGAGAAACATTTGAGAATCAGGCTTTTGAAAATTATACTTGGACAAGTCTGACAACAAGAGTTTTTGCAAGATTATGGAGAGGCAGGTACCCTCATATGCTGCTGTTGGGTGCATCAGTTGGAGCAGGCTCTTTGGAAGGCAGTTTGGCAGTAGTCGTTAAAATTGAAAATGTGGGGACGCCTGGGTGGCTCCATGCTCAGCAGTTGAGTGTCTACCTTTGGCTCAGGGCATGATCCCGGGGTTCCGGGTTCCAGTCCCATATCAGCCTCCTTGCGGGGAGCCTGCTTCTCCCTCTGCCCGTGTCTCTGCTTCTTTCTGTGTGTCTCTCATGAATAAATAAATAAAACCTTTTTTAAAAAATGAAAATGTGGATCACTTGTCACCCAACAATCCCTAGGATTCAATCCTAGAGAGAAGCATTTCCACATAGGCACCAAGACAAAGGTATCAAGACACTCATCGTTGCAATGTTTTGCCATAGTAAGAAATTGGAGAGAACTTCAATGTTCATTAAAAGTGGGATGAATAAATTATGATACTCAATGGAATACTATATAGCTACAAAAATGGATCGATTATAAAAGTATGGATAGACTCAGAAACAAAATGACCGATGGGTATAGTGTAGTAATAAAGTTATGTATAACAAAATACTAGATTTGGAAGGGTACCTGCCAAATTCATAAAGGCACCTTTGGGGTGGTGAACGAGTCCAGAGGGGAGGGTGTCAGGAACATTTACCTATAACGTTCTTACATACGTTTCTGATCACATGAATGTGCACACTGTGTAACTTAAAAGGGACGTGGGCGCTGTGGAGGGTAGAAGTACACGGCCAGAGTGCCCCCAAGTGCTCACTTCTGGGTGCTGGGAATAATCACTCATGAGACTTCCTTCTTTTTTTTTTTCTTTTTTAAGATTTTGTTTTATTTATTTGAGACAGAGAGAGCACAAGGGAGGGGAGGGGCAGAAGCAGAGGGAGGAGAAGCAGGCTCCCAGCTAAGCAGGGAGCCCAATGTGAGGCTCCATCCCAGGACCCCGAGACCATGACCTGAGCTGAAGGCAGACGCTTCACTGACTGAGCCACCCAGGCGCCCTGAGATTTCCTTCTTAGTATTTTTCTGTTACTTAAATATTTGATGATGATGATGATGATATGAAAAAAACCAACTTTGAAATATGCAGCAGAATTTCTGACTCCTGGTCATGCCCAGACACTGAGTGACTCCAGCTATTTACTCTCCGATGTCTCATTTGAACGTTCTTGGCCTTGGTTTTCCTTTCTGCGCATTAGGAATCGTAAACAAGAAGTTTTGAGAAGCCCGAGCCTGCCGCAAGGACACAAAAGGTGGCAGATGGCAGAGACTGTGCTGCGAACACCTCTGAGGGCCTGTGGGATAGAAACGTCAGGACCAGATCCACAGGAGCAGAGCGGTCTCGGCCGCAAATCCAGCTGAGGAGCCGCCGGGGCCTGCGCCTACCTAACAGGATGTGAAATGGAGAACAAAGAGAAGCTCTCTGGGTCACCTGTCCGTCTTCCAAGCCTGGGGTAGAGTTACACAGGTGCAGCGGAGGAAGAGCCCTGTGGAGGTCAGAGCCTTGGAAACCAGATACTTGAATCCGATTAATTAGAACAAATGAAATTCCAGGCCTTTGCTTTTGAAGGGATGTTTGTCTCTCTGTCCTGCAGTTGTTTTGTGTGGGCTTGTTGTTTTGTTTTGCTTTGCTTTGCTGTAAGCTCTGTCTTTTCTCCCTAGCCCTCATGGTCAACAGCCTGTGCAAAAGTTGGAAGCCGCTTCTCCAGGTGCCCACCCTCACCCCCCGTACCCCACTCCATCTGCGTCCAGCAGCACCACGGAAAGCCGGGAAGCGAGCCGGGAGTGGGGGAGGCTGTCCCAGCCCCAGGGCAGCCCTAACCCCACGGGCTTTGCCATTTGTATCCCCCTCTCCCCACTCTCTGCCTCCACCAATTTGCAAAATTACAGCTGAAGAGGCGTTTTTCATCATTACCTGTGCTTGGGATGCATTTAAGGAACTATTCATATCCACACCAGGATTTACTGTTGGGTTCCAAGCTCATCGGTTGCAGACCCGGGAAGGTAATTTGGCGAGCATCTGCAGACCACAGCTCTTCTCTGTTTGTCTTTAAAAGAAGAACAGTGAGGGACGCCTGGGTGGCTCAGCAGTTGAGTGGCTGCCTTTGGCTCAGTTCCTGGGATTGAATCTCACATGGGGTCCCCGCAGGGAGCCTGCTTCTCCCTCTGCCTGTGTCTCTGCCTTTCTGTGTATGTCTCTCATGAATAAATAAAATCTAAAAAAAAAAAAAAAAAAGAAAAAGAAAAGAAAAGAGCAATGAGAGGCCCTACAGCTGTGAACAGTGCAGCATGTTAACTGCTCTGATCCTCCCTACAACACCCGGGCATGGGGCATGGGGAGGATAATTGTCCCTTGGCCAATAAGGAAACTGAAGACTCCAACAGGATCTAAAGTGGTCCCAATCCATGGCTAGCCCCAAACTGAGGGCCTCCCTTGCTCATCCCACCAGCCTCCTCTGGCCTCTGACCGTCCGCATTGGCCTCTCTCCACTGTCTGCGGGTGCTTCCACCCAACGCACACTCTCGGGCCTGACAGGCCTTCCCCATGCCCCCCCACCCCCACCTGCCTTAGACTGCTGACTGCTGAGTCCCACCCACCCTTTAGACCAGGCTTTCTCAAACCCTAATGTGCCTCTGGATTCTGGGGAAGCTTATTGAAAAGCCGATCCTGATTCATTAGGTCTGGATGGGCCTGAGAGTCTGCATCTCTGACAAGTTCTCAAGAGATGCCAGGGCTCATGGTCTGCAGGATGC